AAAAGCTGCCATATAACTCTCAACCACTCTTTCTGGGAAAGTAATCTAAGCGCTCTTGGACTACTGAAAAATTTCCTGAAGAATAAAAATTATCAGGTGCAATTTGCCACATGTAGATTTAAAACTGCACTTCATTCTGCCCTATGGAAAAGCTGGTTTGAGCCAGCAATAGCTTGAGATGCTTGGCTACTATGCTTGGCTGCATAGTGTGTATTCCACAGAGACTGCCCTATCTCTATTCCTTCTCAGTCTCCCCTGAGTCTCCCTCTTTGCACTACACCACTGATAGATGGCAATATATGTTTGATACAAAGACATGTTCTAAAGACAGGAGCTGCTTCCACTATTTCGCAAGTCCTAACATATGTTAAAACCGATTCCTCCAGAGTATGAAGATATAATGCAATGGATTACAGCTTTTGTAAAGCAAAATTATTGAAGAATGATTATTAAATTTGTAGTGTAATTCTGCAGGGAATGCTATTAGACCCAACACTACTGAATCATCTTCATCAGCGACTTGACTTAGAAGTAAGAACTAAGAAAACATGCACATGAACCAAAATGATGAAGTGTTAAGGAAGGGTAAGGAGAATATATTCATACAGAAAACCAGGTAGCTTGTGAACATAAATTTATTCAAACCAACTTTGTTTTACTCTAACCAAAGGCAAAATTTACATTAAAGAAGAAAAAAGCTATGCCACATGGAGCAAAGTGGGAGACTGTATTGTGAAAGGAAGCACCCCTGGAAGGGTTGGTGTTGGGCAGACAAACTGAACACCATTCACTGCAGTGAAATTAATGTCTAATGTGGCCTTTCATGAATAATGCAGGCTACAGTAAGTGCAGGGAGATCTCTGCAGACAGCAGAAGTGAAGGGTTGAAATGCTGCGTATAGTTTTAGTGTCTGCATCCCTAAGGGAAGTCAGAGTCGTGCAGAAAAAAAGCTGTGGAAATCCACTTTTGGATTCCATTTGATGGATTCTTCCTCTGGATTCTATTTGATCATGACTGGAATAGAAGCTTTACCCAAAGAGAATGGTGATGCCAATGAGTTCACACCTTATGGTTACATAAATTATACATGGTTACATATATACATATACTAATGAAAAACTGCTGATCAGAGCTCCTCTCCTTTTGGAATGGACAGCTTCCCTCACAGCATATAGATAACATAATATAGCAAAAGCATTGCTTTTTAAAAGGACACAGTCAGTGTTGAATTGCCTATACGACAAGGAATGATGTTGATATTCAATCCTTACGTTTTTCTAAGTTAATTCTTTTTTAAGAATAAAATAAAATAAAAAAATACAATGCAAGTGTTTGAACCATACCATGGCAAAAGCAGTGTCCAAGTCCTTAATGTTTGTTCACATGTTCTTTATATACAGTGCCCTAAGGAACTATTTAAATTACAAAACTAACAGGAAAGATAGAGATGTGCAGGCCAGAGATGTGCAGCTCATATTTAGAATTGACCCAAAGCACAAGTGGATTCAGCCTGATCCACGTAAGCACCCTCGCCCTGGCCTCGTTCACCCAAACAAGTCTAAAGTGCAAAGCACTGCAAGTTGAGCACTTGCATTTCTCATTGCTATCCATCTGTAGGCCTCACAGTTTTCCTTGTTGCCAGTAAAGTGGAACTCCCATAGGCATTTGTCTGTGGATCACTTGCTTTTCCCAGCTACTTTTTTCTTCCTACTGGCAGTTGAGACAGGAATGAGATACAGAGTTTACAGATGCTGGGAACTATAGGATCAAGCAAGCAGATTTCTTGTGCCTGAGACCTCCTCCACAGTGTTACTTTTGTAAGATGCTTGTAAATGTGGCAGTCTAACTGGGGGCAGCAGTCGAACCAGTTTCATATGTGGAATTTCAGCAGTGTCTCCAGGATTTAGCTGGACTATTGCTGAAGTTTCCTGGGTGTAATATTAGTCTTCAGCATTTTTAAGATTTTAAGACAAACTGCGATTTAGATACTGCAAGAGATCTCTCTCTCTCCGCTTCCAGATAGCAATGGTGTGCTCATTGCAGACAGTGAAGAAGAAAAAATATTTAGTCCAGCATTTTCAAAAGAGCAGTGGAGGAAAGAAAAGTGATCTGCTCACCTGAAATTTTTATTTGAGCAACTTCTCCATCCCCTCCTTCACTGTGTGCTCGGACCTCAACAACATATTCACCATCACTGGGGACTGGGAGCTCTATTGTGTGCTTTCCAGTCGAAAACAACTTGCCCTCGTGTTGTCCATCTGGTCTATACAACACCTAGGAAAGACACAGTAAATATAGTTACATTTCCTTGAAAACAGTTATATAAGTATGGTGTATGGATTAAAAAGTATTAGGTTTTTATTTATCAAAAAAAATTCAAAACTTTGTAGCAAGTATTATTTTCTTCATTTTTACATAAGGTGAATCTACATAGGATGTTGTTTCATTGTTTTATCTGTTATAAAATAACTTAGCCTTTTGAAAAATAACCCCTGGATTCAAACTACTTATTTAAAGGATAGAAGATGTAATTCAGGATGTCAAACAGCATCAAATAAAAAGCTCACCTCTTGGATGTGTTCTCAGATATAAATAATTTAATACCATTTATATAAATGAAACAATATAATTTCCATTCTTTCGTGTCTGGGAAGCATTTTCTGTGACTCCCAGGAAACAATCAGCTCATCGAACAAGATGTATGTGTAGAATGATACCTATTTTTTGACTACCAAGCAAACATCAAAATTAAAGAGGAATGAACTTATGGAGCTTTCTGTATGCCAGAAGCACATACTTCTATATGGCCTATACTTTGTATGCACAGTTGCTCTGACTATACAGTAACTTCATCTAACACAACGACATGTTCCTTTTCTTCCTCTACCTTTCCAAACTTGAAAGAACTAGTGTCCTAGGAACTGTTCTAGGAACTTGAGGACAATGAAACTTGAAGAAAATGAAAGCTGGAACAATGAATACTAGCATGAGGAAAAACTAGCAATCTGTAACATTTTTTGAAACACATTCTTTCTACATACAGTCAATGTTATCATATGAGAAATCAGGTTGCTACTGCCATAGATCCGAACTTTCTCACAATATGGCTTGCTACAGAGATGAATTTCAGTGCTCCAATGTTTCCTCATCCCTTTGACAGAGTTTCCTGTCATTACCTTAAGTGATTATCTGATTGGGTGACTATCTGGCTTACCACCCTCATCTTTAGCATGCAACCATATTTAAGCTTGATTAGTCATCAAAATTCAACACTGGCTATAAAATACACCTCATTTAGGATATATAAAGGTAAAAAATGGATTCATAGATCATACTTTGTATCCTTCAACTGCAGACTCATTTGACATTGCCTTCACATGATCCCAGGTGATGATGTATCTTGAACCAGATCTTACAGAACTGATAATTCTTGGACGTTGACTTGGAGCTGAAAAGCAAGATACATATAATGTGCACAAAAATGAACTTTCATAAACTTTCAATGACATTTTGATTAAGACATGTAGATGGGAAGATTATGGCTGATCTTTATAGAAATATGGGCTAGTCTCCTTCCTGGAATGAATTTCTACAGTTCCAACCAGGCAATTTTGTTTGGCTCATATGGCAGCAGCTTTGTGGGTTTGCTTTCTGTGTTGCCAAAATGGAAATGGCCAAGATTACCCTTTATTATGTTGCTGACCATGTGTGTTTGCTGGCATGCAACTATGTCCAAAACTCCCACAAATGTGGTTTGTCATATTTATTCATTAAGATTAAATATTTAATTAACCACTTAAGGGCATGTCTACAGCATTAAACCCAGTAGTGATCAGAGTATCCTATTGCAGAAAGTGTTAATTGTAGTTCACACAGTAAGCTTTTAAAATGGAGTCTTCTTACTCAACACAAATGAGCCCTGCAGCTTCAAGTTGCACAACACCATATTTATTGACAGAAAGCCTCAAATTAGTTGGACATACTTTTAACCCATGTAAGTGTGCTTTAAGTAAACAAGATGTGTGTCTTAATTGAATATTGCTCAGGATACACTAGTGCTAAGTATCATTATTAAATCAGGAGCTATATTCATAAACCTATTATAGCATGCAAATTCAAGATTGTGATTCAGATCACCCATAGGCCTGTCAGGCCCTGGCTCCCTCTACTGTTAACGAATCAGGCCTTGGACATTTTTTAATAGTCAGTACAACCTTTAATTTTCACTATTGATTAAACAGAAAGCCAAAGTACAGCTGCCTAAGTGATAGCTGAACTGAACTGTTCATCACAGACATCATTGCATAGGCCAAAATCAGTTTTAGATGATATGATAAGCAATCTGAATGTAGCCTGAAGACAGAGAGCACAGTTTAGAAAGGTGACAAAATTTCCAGTTTTCGGGGCTTCATGGTTGATATAGTAGGAGTGTTTTTTACAGAATTCATTAGTGTTCAGTATTTTCTGATAATCATGTCCCATCATTCTCATCATAGGGAAGCGAATACTCAAATATATTAAAGTATAAGTCACATGAACAGCGTATTTGCCTCTATTACGAAGACAAGGCTGCATTCTATTCCCTGCTACTTATCCATGTGGCACCAGTGATACTGCCAGGGAGACCTCAAGTGAATGAAGCGCAGCTATATAGTTCTGGGGGTGATGGTCTGGAGCAAGAACACTCAGGTATTTTTCTCCTCAATCTTGCCAGTGGGCAGGGAGAGCTTGAGGGGAAGTGGACAGATTCTGTGAATTAACACCTGTACACTGGTTGTACAGCTGATGTTGACGACAAGGCTTTTAAAACTATGGTAGCCTCTTAGAGGACTGGGGAGTGCTAGGGAGAGACAGGATCAATCTGACAAGTGAGTGAAAGCATCTTTGCCCACAGGCTGGTCATCATTACAATAGCTGACACATAGTAGAAAAAATGGGTTAGAGCTTCTGAGTCAGGATCAGAAGAGAGGCTATAGAGGGTGGCATTGTGGTGGGAGTGTGTCACAGACTACCTGAGTGCATGAAGCCTTTGGAAGGGAAGGGAAGTCTTTGGATCATAAATCCAATTTTTATGGGGGATTTTATCTTCCCTGAGATATCCTCAGAGAGCAAAGCAGTGGGATGAAAATAATCAAGAAGATTTCAGGAGAGTATCAGGGATAATTTCTTGATAAAGGTGCTGTATGTTCAACCAGGGGTGACACACAGACGGATCTGATTAACATGGAGGAACTATCTGAGGATGTGATAATCGATGGCAACCTTGGCGGTAGCAACCTTGGCATTCATGATCAAGAAGAGAGAGCCAGTGATCAAGAAGAGAGAGCCAGGTTCTCTTCACAGTGATGCATGATAGCAGGGCAAGCATACATTGAAATAAAAGAGATTCAGACAGGATATAAGAAAAACCTTCCTTGCCATGAGGACAGTCCCCAGTAAAACAAGTTGGCCAGGAAGGTTATCACCTTCCTTTGAGGTTTTCAATACCAAATGGGATAAAGCTCCGAGTAACTCTGCCTGATCCTGCTTTGGGCAGCAGGTTGGAGTAGAGATCTTTTGATTCCTGCCAACCTGAGTTATCCTATCATCCTATAATCCATATCTCTTTACTGTCTTGTGCCAGCTGTCCACATTGTATATGGCAGCAGAAGTGAGGAAGTGCCTTGGCAGAACTTTACATATCAAGACCCGATACGATGTTAAAAGAAAACTTTGGATATAAGGATGAGAAGCCAACTTTGAAGATATGATAGGTATGAGGCAACATATAACAATAACGTACAACGCACGCTAAGTAACCTATTGCTCCATTTACTTACGTGCTTTTCTAGTGATAATATCAATGGTTCTACTGGGAGGTCCATAGCCTGCACTGTTGAAAGCAGAAACATCTACATGGTACCGTGTATTAGGTTTCAAGTTTTCCAGTTTGGTTGAATATTCTTGATTGCTGACTTGTACTCGCTGTGCAGCAGCTTCTTTATCATGAGCAGCCCAGTAACGAATCTGCAAGCAATCAAATTAAATAATTAAATTTATAATACTTAGATACAAAGGAAAATTATCAGAACTGACATATAGTGGATATATCTTTAATACAGACAGTGAAAATCTGGGGGCGGGATAATGCCTTCAGAGAACAAGACTATTTTCTTTTGCTGTTTTATTTCTGAGTATTTTTACTCATAACTTTAATGTTGCTTCCTACAACATAGACCCAGCTCTGCTGTTGATTTCCTCATATATTTTGTGTAACATGTCTCCTAACTTCAACCTTTTTGTAGTTCTGCCCAAGGAAATGAGAAGTATTCAACTATGTTATCTGTACATATGTGTGCGTCTGTAGATATGCACCCCTAGCCATTTTCTGAAGTTCTCTGGCTAAGTTCAATCAGATTTCACAGTACGATATTATGTTTGTAAAAGGGTCTGTACATCAGGAATCAAAGGATGCTGTGTCTATCTCTGTCCCAAAGTTCAAATGAGTTTCTGGCCTGCAGCAAATGGTCTGTAAAGACCTAGGTGGCAAAAGTTTAATAGCTATGATAAGAACAGTCATAGCTTTGTTGTTGATATTAACTGGCTATTGAAGACTATTGAAAACTTATTGAATTCATTTCTGGCATGTTCTAACATATCAATGTACCTGCTTTGTGTACAATGACACTATGTGGAAAGCTTTGTTAATCATGGAGCATATACTGGAAACCTATGAATACCTCCGACTTGAATTTTTTTCTACAGTCCTGCAGTTCATTTACACAACAGTCCATTTACACTACAGTAAGGGCATAACAAAATAAGCAATATAGAGCATCAGACACAGCAAGTGAGAACAATGAACACAAATGTAAATTACTTCATTGAGAACATATGAAGTTCCAGACAGGACTAATATAAAGTAGAAATGAAAATAAATTTAAATTTTAAATGGCCTTTAATGACTTTACTGTGGACTCCCATAGCTGATAAATCCCCAGGCGATACTGTGAGAGTGCTTCATACCAACTCTAGCAATTGGAGATAATCCAAACCTAACAGAATGGCCATTTAATCATCTGTGGGTAGATAGCACCTTTGGGCAGTCCCCTGTGCTAAAATCAGGGAAGAAATATTTTAATTCATGGTTCCCTCCTCTATTCAAATTTTATTATACTGAAAATCTCGAGCAGGTGCTTCTACGAGTGTCAAGAAAAAACAGTCCTCTATTTATGAAAGTTTTACATATGGGAGACATAAATGATAAACTTCATTTATATTAAGAGAATATGCTGATCCATATTTCAGTAAAAAAGAGACAACAATGGTTAATAATGATAAATTTGTTTAACGAAATAAAAATACACTATTGCACAGAACTGGCAGGAAATACAGACAGTGTCTCTGGTATTGGTTGTACCAAAGAACTGTAACTTTTGAAGATGTCACTGCATTAACTCATAAATCTTAAATCCTGTCCATGGATGCAGATAGTTTTTATGTTTTATTATTTTGTCTCTGTTAAATGTGAGCTGAGGCTACTCCTCTGTAGTGGCCAAATGTATCAGCTCACACTCATCACCATGAGGGCAGTCATCCCGACAGTATGTATTAGTGTCAAGAAAATTTGACTCTTCCTGGTGTGAAAAGCTCTGCATCACAGGTAAAATACCTCCTGGTACTTTGTATACAGTACTCCCACCTTCTAAACTCTAGCATTTAAAAGGCCAATTATGCCTTTTTCGGGTAACAATAAAGACTAAAATAAAATTGAGAAGGTCTTGTAGAGAATGAGGGATTTTGCTAATATGGCAGTAACTAAAAAAACAAACAAACAAATACTGTAATACTGCTCGCACTATTCATCTGAATTTTATAATGATGTTTGACCAAGTCTGTGTGCCTCACTCCACAGCTCTTACTTCAACTTAACAATGGCAACCTATGGCACTGGCTCTCTGGAATAGCCCTCTCTATTTCTCCTGTCCCATGGCTTCTTCAGCACTGACAGGCAGTACTTCTGATCTCCAGGAGCCTGAGACTTCCCTTTTGTCCTCAGTGCAGGGCTACTTGCTTCTCCTTCTCCTAGAATGAAGGTGATAATTAAGAAAAGGATGTTGGAATCAACATCTTATTGAGCTACATGGTATTGAGTTCCATGTCTATCTGTTTTTCATATAGATATTATTATTTTTCAGTTAAGGTAATGAGAAACTTATTTTAGAAAAAATACAGTGCAGCTGGTGCAGCTACAGATTCTGGTGCAGTTATTCACTGTAAATACTCAAGAAAGCCCATTCACACTTCCTACTTCATCTATGAAAGCATAGTACTTCTCATAGGAATAACTAGTTGGGCTTGCTCATTTCAAATGAGGATGAACAATAAGGCTCCAATTATCAATTTAATGCCACATCACCCACCTCTGTATTCTACATATAGAACTCTCTGCCAATTCACAGTGTACCTAATCTTTTTTCAGAAGTGCAATACTTCTTTCTTTCCAATCCAAACATCCTCCAGGCTTTTTTTTCCCACTGCACCTCTGTTATCTCTCCTTGGGACTGCATTCTTTTCTTTTTAATCCTTTCCTTTCCCTTCTTCCCCTGATCTTCCCTCACAGCAGTACAGATGGATTGATGTAAAATAAAAGAGTGGTCAGCAATGGGTTGCTGAAGAACATTTTCTCGCCATGTTCTTTCTTTATTCATCCTCAGTACCACCCATTCACACTACCCATCTCCTTCCTCATTACAATCCTCCACATCCATTACCATCCCTACTGCTATTGTGATCCCATCTGCTCCAGTGTCCTCCCATCTTGCTCCTCTTGCAGCTCTGTCTCCCCAGATGTTCCCAAGAGTGTCTGTTGGGACCTGCACATCTGTTCTCATTGTTCGGAAAGTGCGTGCTTATAATTTTAAGCTCTATGCCTGTACTGTAGAGAATCAAGCTTTATATGGCACACTAGTTCTGATCAAGATCTTTGCTATGACATATACCTATGCTATGATACAGTATTCCAGAAGTATTACATAAATCTCTTGGAAACAGAAACATAGATCAGGAAACACAGAAACAAGTGCTACAAATTGGAAAGCATTAGTTCATAGATTTCGATCATAAAATGCATTCTGTGAGGTTACTTAATTTTTGTATGTGCTCATTTTGGAGCATGCAGTCTACCATGAAGCAGGTGAAAGTCACTAAGCAAGGCACTAAGCAAGTCACTAATGTACTAGGGTCCATACTTTTTTGCAGAGTAGCCAGAAGAAGCTGGCTCTACACTGCAAAATTTTTCAGTATCCACTGTGTGTGGATGAAGAAAGACTCCTCTCCTGGACAGCCAGGTGGCTGCTTCTGCTTATACCCACCCTGTGGCTATTCTCATCTCTGCAGAAGAACAGGAACAATTTTAACGAGTACCACTATTTATTCTTGGACATGCCCACTGGACATCCTTGTTTTTTTTGTAGGAGGGCTAATAGAGGGCATGAACAAAACTCTGGTCTCTTGCACAATAGCGCGGTTATTTGTTATACTAGGTTCTGGGCACTTCTCACCTACTCCCACTTAACTCTAGATTTTGCTAATGAATTATGCTAATAGTTTAGAAAGGTCATGAGTTAATTACAATGTCTACATTGGTAATTACACTGAAAACCTAATTAGGGGTTTTGAGAAGGTAGAGAAGGATATCCAATTGCCTAGCAGAAACAGACAAAAATTCTTCTATGAATTAATGTTTTTTTCTCCTTTTGAACAGTGGGCAAATAGATTTTTTAATATATCTTGGTAATGAAGTATGTAGTACCAAAAATAGTCTATTACTCAGGATATGAAATCCTGACAGCAAACAACAATTAAAGAGAAATGAACCACAAGAAATAGAATGATACAGAGGGAATTATTGTTGTATTTACTACTGAAATTAAATGAATGAGAAAACATGTTACCAACATCACCTCTAAACTCACCTGATATCCTTCCACAGACTGCTCAGAAACATGGTGCCAAGAAACAGAGATTTCAGAAGATGACAAAACTTTTACACTCACATCTGTAGGTATTTCAGTTGGAGCTGCAGATGAAATATACGTTAACCATTCAACCTCATCCAGTGATATTGTTATACTAGCTTTTAGGGACTTCTCTTATCTCAATATTTTGTTTTATTCTCTTGATATCACAGGGCCAACTGCTATAGTCTGGTTTTATTGAATAAACTTTAAATTCAGTGAGGATCATTATGGGAAATGACTCTATAAAAATGAAATAATGATCATATTTTTTGGCCAAGACTATATATTTGCATAGTTCATTCCAGATTACACACCGGAATATATGTAAATTAAAAACAATCTATCTCAGATAAAAATAGAAGGAAGCATCTTTTACTAAACTGGGCAGCATCCTAGAGCTTAAAACATATGCATCAGGTTTTTCAAGTCAGCTGCACAGAAATACTCATGTGCATGTCATTTAGTCATAATGATATAAAATTTGTATGAGATCAGATTTAGATATAGAGCTGGCCATATGAACTTGAACATATGTGTGCAATGATCCAAGAGCACCCTCCTAGCAGGCGCGCATCAGGCAGTTGATCTTTTCTGTGTGTTCTTAGTTTTGGACATCAGCCAATGCAGAATGCAGACAACTGCGATGTAATAATACTCAGGGCTCAGAATAATAACTTCTAGTTTAATTATAAGAAGCTGTTAAGATCACTTTTGCTTTCATTTCAAGTAAGGTAAGGAATTTAATAGACATTATCTTAGCAATGTCTATGAAAAATACAAATTTTCAAGCTAGAGAACAGTTCTCTTTTGTGAATTTTTTGAAACAAGTTGCAACAGACAGGCATAACAGCCTGAGCTCAGGAAAGCTTTCAAACACTTTCAACTGGGCAACAAGTCAACTATGCATCAAAACAGCCACTGTTAAGAAAAAAAGAAAAAAAATCAGTTACGTCTCTTATGAAAAGTATCCTAGGTAACAAAAAATTCTATATGCAAAGTTACCTTTCCTAATTGTCTTTCAGTGACTGTTAATAATGCAAATGTATAATTAAAATGATACACTATTGCAAAACTGTTTTCACAATGACAGGAATTCAGATAAGCAAGAGGCCTGTGCACTCATTACTAGCAATGACAGGTATGACTAGTGCTACTGCACTTGTCAGATATGTAGCTTGGCTTAAAGGATGTGGAAACGCAGAAACCCAACAGTGTCTAAAGTAAACAAAAATGCCCACAATATAAATAGACATGCATAGATATATTAAAAACACAGAACTCTGTGGAAATGTTGTCTTTATATATATTTCTATATATGCATATTTATATATGTAGGTGTGGAATACTGTATGACTATATTGCTTTAAAACCTCAGTAATACTTTTGTGAAATCCTGCTATCTGATGGTGAATCACACCACTGGATCATGTGCTGAATCACAGATAAGTACAGATGGAATAGATCAGATCATCTAATTCCTTTTCCAAGTCAGTGACTCTTCCCATTGTATCAGTTGCAGAACTGGCCAGAATGTTTTATATTGAAAACTTCCAAAGGGCAGGGTGATTTCACTGATCAAATACTATAAACAATATTTCATCTGCTTATGCTTTATTATGAGTTGTAAATAATTTATTTCCCTATTTGGCAATTATGCTCCCTAAATATTTTTCCAGACAGTCTCTCTTGGCCAGGAAAATGACATCACCTGCTTTTCTCTAGCCTTTTAGCTTAGTACCAATAAAAAAAGTGATCAGGTGTGCCTCCCTGAAAACTCAGTGCTCATCACACAGTTATTTTCCAAGTGGAACTTTACCAAGCACTGAGGTGACTTTGCAGAAGTCCTGATTCAAGCAAAAAAACTCTGCAGGATGTGCTTTAAATTACCTTGCATTGCAGCTGCTGCAAAAATGCCCTCTAACCTGTCCTGCAGCTCCTGTTTTTCGTGTAGTCAATAACCAGGGCCGCAGCCCCGCACAGGAGCTGTTAGCACCACCAGCAACGTTCAAAGCACCAGGAGTCTCAGACTCCCTCAGTGCCTCTTGTACTGGTAAGCAAAGAAAGCAGGTTCCCTGAGCCAACTTGCTTTTGCTGGCTGCAATGGGCTCGGTCAAAAAAGTGTCTGAATTTTGCTAAAGTCTGTATTAGAACATCAGCAATCACTGAAGTGACTTCCTTATCTGGAAGTTGGCACTAATCCGCGTTTGCTTCTGCCTTCTGAAGCTATGAGGCTCTGCCACGTTTCTGAACTGAGGGAGCTACACAAACATACTCCTAACCCTGACACACTTTGTATGGTCCTAACATAAATGCACGGCAGCTTATCAGTTTGCCGTCGATAATTTCTCTGAAAAAGGATGGATACTGAAATGTTATTTGGTAGATATGGTTTTTATTACACCATAACAATTTATTGAAGCATTTATACAATTACAAAAATAAACATTCTGTTGCTGTAGCAGCTATTGAAGATGATATCCTAAGGTATACTTTTATGATAAAAAGGATTAGTATTAATCACTTCAGATAGCCAAATGTTGCTAACTGGATTCTGAATTATCATAAGGAACAAAAGGGCTCTTTTATCTTTTTCTCTGTGTGTGGGCGATTTGTATGCAAAGTTCCCATTAGTGCTAATGGGAGTCATGAACATAAATCTCCTAAAAGCATACACACAGAGTAAAGAAAGGGAAGTGTGAGAATGTGGCCCTGTTATCTTATCCCTCCTCTTGGCTCTTTGGTGCGGATCTCCTGGCTTAGTGAAAGAAATTCTGTTCTATGGAAAGAAAAATGTGAGCAATTATTCCTTGAGTTTTTGGCAGAAATTAATAAATTGTGATTTTTTTTTAAACAGACTTGAGTGACTACATTGCAACTAAGGTATTGTATATATTTCTTCTGATTTAAGGTAAACTTTCTTCTAGTGATTCCTTTCCTTTGTTAAGTTTGGAAAATCATGTAAACTTTCATCCTACAGATCACAGCATGCGCAATAATTCTAGCTTGAATTAAGAGTAAGATTTTACCGAAATGTCAAAGCAGTTTTCCCTAAATTATTCACCTGACGGCTCTAATATCCAAACTAGAGAAAAACAATGTGGCAGGACTAATTTATGTTTGACTGAAACCATGCTTGAAACGTAACTGAATCATCATTCCTTCTACAGGAACAGTTTGGGGTTAAATGCTGCCACTGATCTACCAGAAAAATAGAATTTAGTGTAGCCTGTTAAGAAGAAAATAACATAACTACTTTAAGATTAATGAAATTTAAAACACATTCAATAATCCTTAGTTTGCTCAATAGTAAATTTGCTCAGTAGTGAATAAGGATCTTAATAATTTAAATTTTGGAAGTTTGTCACCAACTAATCTCAACAAATATAGACAGTGGTTCTAACTAAAGGACTCACCTGTGTTTTGCTCATAGATCCAAAAATGTATTATTTTACTAAATTAATATTTTAAAACCTCTGAATTTCTGTAATAAATTACAGTAATTCACTTCTGAATTCCTATGCCAATCATGGGCATTTATCAGGATCACAGACACTACTGCTGACTCACAGTGCAATGTCTTAGGCAACAAATATGAAGATAGGAATTTGTTTTTAAAATTCTTAAACCTTTTAACAAACTGTATGAAAAATATCTTGAGTGTTTCTGTGGATTGCTTGTTCAGGCAGAAAGTACCAGCAAGTGCTCTCCATCGCATAAGAAGCAGAGCCTGAGGTTCTTCCTCCAGAACTGCAGGTGTTTTGTGTGAGCAAACTACACCCTCCATGTTGCAGGCCCAGGCAATTGTCTGGTTGCACTTCATATCAAAGGCTGTGGAGCTGATTCTTTACTGATGTTGGTACTGCTGATTTGGGCTCTCAGTATAGGATTGATCTGGAACCTTTACTCACCATCTTGCGCAGAATAAATGACAGCAGTGAGACTGAAGGGTCCATCCCCCTTGTTGTTAAAAGCTTTCACTTTTACTTGGTATTGGGTTGAAGGTGGCATCGATTCATCCTTGTGCACATACCGGCCAATTTCAGGATTAGTAACTGTAACTCTTCTCCATTCTTTTTCACCAAATGGCTTGAAAGCTACTATGTAACCAAAGTTATTGCCATAGTGGTATTCTCTTGATAAGGGCTAAAGAAGCAAAAGACAAAACATTAATTTTTGTAGGTAATAAAACAAAGAAGTCTCTAGTGAAAAATAAAGAGTAAGAGGGCAGCAATCTGCATACTGTCAGAATCCTGAACTAAACATCCATTTTTCCCTGGTTTGCTTCTCCATTTTGCTCCCCCTGCCTTTAAAATGCATCATCTTCATTATGCAGATTTGTGTTAGTACAGCAACTGCTATTAATACATTTTAATCTCTTCTTCCAGATCCAAATTTACTGCAAAACATGTGCAATAAATGTGTAGAGAAAATTTTAGAGAAATTGTGTGTTTTAGAGAAAACTCACCAGATTTTGAATCAGTAGAAACATTTTAGTTTTGACTTCAGAAATAAAAGATAACAAATATATTAGAACATTAATATATATTTACACCACCTGACACAAACATCAAGATAAACATTGATGTCAGAACTCAAAATTTGAAAATTGTCAGGTAAGGATATATGAAGGAGGGTGGAGCATTTTTTTCATGATAAAGCTTTCATGAAAAATGGACCAACTTTACACAGCTTAAGGGGAACTGACATCCTCCACCCCAACTCTGGGTGTTCCCATGTCATCTTGATGTATTATCCTCTCTATTACTGCAGACACGAGTTTCACCAGTGTATACCAGCATTGTATAGTGTTCAAATCCTGCCCTTGCAGGAGCCAGTGACAAACCTTCCACTGGCTTCAGCAG